GAACTATTGAAAGAAAAAAAAAACAAGTTTTAAAACAACCCATCATAAGTGTTTTAGATAAAAGTTAATTTATTTTCTTGACCCTGTTCCTTTTCTTCTTCTGTTTTTTTTTCTTGTTTCTTCTTCGTCTAATTAATAAAAAAAAAGTCCCAATAACATGACTCCCGTCCCGACTGAACTAGGTAGCCTAAAACATGTTRCTAAACTAGCTATTTATCTTTTAAAGGCTAAATTAAATTTAAAACAAAGGTCTCAGTGTTTCAGTAAAGACTTCCGACATATTTCCTGCGGTTATGTGAACTTTATCAGCCGTGACCTCACCGCTCCATGATTTATTTTTATTATTTCTCCCTTTTCTCGTGTGATAGAAATCTCTTGAAGTGGAAGTCATTGTGAAATATTTTGTACCAAACGACAATTTTTTGTAACTTTTGTCGGCCTTATGCGATATTTAAATGAAATGAACACAAACAGACAAATAATAGCTGGATCGGGATATAAGCGCGAGGTGCGCGTGCATTTAGGCTATTATCAATAAACTTCACCTGCGGCTGATTGGTCCTCAAACAAAACCAGTTAAAGTTTGAGTCAATACTGCTGCTAGAGGGGAAAATGGACATATTCATGGTAATATTTGCCTTTTTATGTGAAGCAAAACAACTAGGCCTACAAATATATTTTTAATCATGTAAAAATATTTAATCGACGCTGGCTGTCAGTTTAATCACTTCTGAACGACCACATTAAATTGTGATTTGTAGCTGTTTTAGGGCGAAGTTTAAAAAAGCAGGTCGCTTTATCAGGTAATTGCATCTAATGAAATTATTTAAAAGAATAAAGCGCCACAGTGGCAGCCTTATTTATACAAATTTAAGTTAGGCCTATTCATTTAGTCATATAAAATCAACCTTGCTTATATTAGAGTTGGAAAATATAAGAAGTGAAATAAATTAGGCTATAAAATAAATGTTTGTGTGTTGGAGGAGGAAGGTGGGTGGAGAGAGAATAATGAGCAGCAGACTTGGTTTATATAGCGGTGGGTGTGAGCGCGCGCTCAAGTTGAAGGCTGCGCTCCGCGCGACGCATCAGCMGGGGGGGAGGGACAACGACACTGCGTTCTCCAAAGATAAAAACAATGCCTTATCTGTGAACTCAAACATTCGCCTTTCCCCGCACCTGCCTGCTGTTCCACCTGCACCGAACGCGTTTTTTTAGACAAACGCCCCTGAACACAGGGGGAGTTTTGGTTTCTGTTGTTTTTTTGCGCAACGAAGAGCGCACTGCAGAGAGAGAGGGACGCAGCATGCACTGTCAGGCCGAGCTCAGGCTCTCCTCCCCCGGCCAGCTGAAGGCGGCCAGGCGGCGCTACAAGACTTTTATGATCGACGAGATCCTCTCCAGGGAAACTTGTGATTATTTCGAGAAACTCTCTCTGTACTCCGTGTGTCCTTCTCTCATTGTCCGACCAAAGCCTCTCCATTCATGTTCGGGTAAGGCTGCTCTGTGTTTTTTTTATTAATAATAGCTCATAATAACAATAATAAAGGAATAAACTAATAATTATCCAACATAGATAGCCACTTATAGACTTTTATCTGAAAGTGGCTTGAAACATAAGTGATTATTTTTCTTTATTACTATTATTA